TTGCTTTCTATTTCTCTTTTTTGGAAAAAAACAAAACAAAAAAACCCCCCAAAACTCTGATAAATCTAAAGCCCTCCCATTTTCCTTTGTATAGGTAACCAGTGTCCCAAGTTAGTGTAGTTAGTGTAGATTCTTCTTGACCATATATATATACACATACATATGTACACATTTACTACAGAGGTATATACATATATAAAATATGGGGGCCCAGGAAGCGATCCTCCTGCCTCAGCCTCTGAAGTAGCTGAGATTACAGGTATAAGCTACCATGCCTGGCTAATTTTTGTATTTTTAGTAGAGATGGAGTTTCACCATGTTGGCCAGGCTAGTCTCGAATTCCTGGGCTCAAGTGATCCATGCACCTCAGCTTCCCAAAGTGTTGGGATTACATACACACATATAACACATATATTAACAATATATGTACATATATACTATCATACTGTGTAAATCTCTTTGAAATTTGCTTTTTCACTCATTTTTGAGATTTACCCGTGTCAGTACATTGTAGATCTGATTCGTTAATTTAAAATGTTCTATAGTTTCCCATTGTTTGAATAAAACTGTTTATTTGTTCCCTTCCTAATGGACTGTTGGTTGTTTCCATTTTTGTTATTACACAGCACTGCAGTGAAAATTCTTGTATCGATGTGTGGGCGTTTTTTCCTTTTGAGACAGGGTATTGCTCTGTCACCCAGCCTGGAGTGCATTGGCACAATCACAGCTCACTGAAGCCTCAACATCCTAGGTTCAAGCAATCCTCCCACCTCAGCCTCCCAAGTAGCTGAGACTACAGGCGCATGCCACCATACCCAGCTAAATTTTAAATTTTTTGTAGAGACAGGGGTCTTGCCATGTTGACCAGGAGGATGGTCTCAAACTCCTGGGCTCAAGTGATCCACCCGCCTCAGCCTCCCAAAGTGCTGGGATTACAGGCGTGAGCCACCGCGCCCGGCCTGTTTTGCTAGGCATATGGTTGCTAGATCACAGTGCATGCACATCTTCGACTTCTAGTAGCTATCGCTAAATTCCCCAAAGTTGATCTGAAACCAGTGGGGCGTGTCAGCAATGCTCCTAGCGTGCACACACCAGGCCGGGCTGTGACAGCCCTCGGGCTGGGCCCCAACCCCACTTCGAGATCCGAGCCGGGGCCGGGAGCAAGCAGAGGCCAAGCAATGGGAGTGGGCACCCCCACCTGCAAGGACAAGGCGAGCACCTTCCTGGTCCCCCAAAAGTGCAGAGAGGCCCGGGTCCACAGTCTGGACTTGGACGGCTGCTGCCGCTCTCGGCTCCCGCCTGCTACGTGGAGCGTGATGCCCGGGCCGCACCTCTCGCGGCCTGGGGCAGGGGCTCCTGGTCCTCGCAGGGCCGGGGCCGGGTCTGGGTGTGGGGCAGGGGCGTCGTCTCCGCGAACCTACCCCCGTGGCCGCGGCACTCAGGAGTGGCCCGGAGTTCCCCTCGCCCGGTTCGCGGCACGGCCCAGGGCGGCGGCCCGGGGCGGGGCGCCTCCGGGAGCGGATCGTGGGCCCGGGCCCAGCCTTCGGGAGTGTCAGGCCCGCGGTCACCCGGATGCGGGGCGGACCCCAGGGACGCGGCCCCGGGCGGCCCTGCGGAGAGTCTCCTCCGGAGGCGCAGGAACTCCGCACCCTTGGTAGGGCAGGCGCCGCTCTCCCTTCCGGCGCTGGGCCCGGGAATGAGGCCCCAGCTTCGCCTCCTCCCAGCGGCCTCCCGGCAGCAGCAGCGGGCGAGAGCGGCGACGCGGGGCCAGGGTCCTGAGCCCCGGAGGCTCGGGCCTGGGGGCACGTCCCGCCCGGCCGCGCGAGGGTGGGAGCGGCGCAGTCGGTTGCCTCCGGGACGCGAGCACAGTGTACCCACCGTCGCCACTGCTGCTCCGGCAGCCGCTCCTGCCACCGCCGCCCGCGCCCCAGCGCTGCGGACGGCCCGCCGCTGCCATGAGTATATTAAATTAGTACGTTAATATTAACACTACAGGTAGCCTCAAATTGGTTCATATCAGGTTTTGTCACAAAGTAAGTTTAAACCAGAACGGGCTGGGTGGCTCACGCCTGTCATCCCGGCACTTTGGGAGGCCCAGGCGGGCAAATCACCTGAGGTCGGCAGTTCGAGACCAGCCTGGCCAACATAGCAAAACCCCTTCTCTACTAAATATACAAAAATTAGCCAGGTGTGGTGGAGGTTGCCAGGAGACTGAGGCAAGAGAATCTCTTGAACCCGGGAGGTAGAGAATGCAGTGAGCCGAGATCTCGCCACTGCACTCCAGCTGGGCAACAGAGACTCGTCTCAAAAATAAATAAATAAATAAATAAATAAATAAGGGAGTTTAAACCAAATTTAGGGGAGCAAACTTAGTTTTCAGAGTTTTTCTATTTTGGAATTGCAAATAAAGGATTTTAAGCTTCTACCAATTTATATTCCCACCAGCCACTTATGACTTCTCATTTCCCCATATCTTTGCCAATATGGTGTTATTAGGCTTTTTAATTTTTGCCAATCTGATGTGTGTGAAATGAAGTCTTTATTTTGATTTGAATTATCATAATTACTAGTGAGGTTGAGCATTTTTCATTTGTTTATGACAATTCCGGTTTCCTCTTCTGTGAATTTCCTGTTTCTCTTAAATTGTTCTTCTTTTATTGATGTATTCTGGACACAAACAAGTTGTAATGAATTGCCAATATCTTGCCTTTTCATATTTATGATTTCATCATAAAGAAGTTTAAAATTTCAAGGTAGTCAAATTCATCAACATTTTCCTTTATAAATTACGTCCTTCTTATCTTATTTAAGAAACCCACCCCTTTTCAAGTTCATGGTTGTATTTGCTTGCAGATTTTTTTTAAGTTTTAAAATTTGGCTTTTTATATTCAGTTTTAAAAAATATATCCGGAGTCTGTCTTTGTGTACAATGTGAGGAAGGAATCTAGTTTTATATTTTGCATCTGTTAGCCAGTTGTTCTGGTATCATGTACAAATTGGTGTCTTCTTTTCCCGCTGATGTGTAGTAAAACCGCCTCTGTCACAGTCCAAGTTCCCATCAATATGTGGCCCATCTCTGGGTCCTCTGTTCAGCCCCATGGTCTCTTTGTCTGTCTTGCTAATAATAATTCTTTATTATGGTAGGACAAGCCCCTCCCATCTTATTTCTCACTTTCTTCTTCAATAGTGTCCTAGCTAGTCTTGACCCTTTAGTCCTTTATTATATAAATTTTTTAAAAACTTGTCTATTTCCATAGAAAAACTAGTTGGACTTTTTTTTTTTTTGAGACAGAGTCTCCCTCTGTCGCCCAGGCTGGAGTGCAATAGCATGATCTCAGCTCACTGCAACCTCCGCCTCCCAGGTTCAAGCGATTCTCCTGCCTCAGCCCCCCAAGTAACTGGAATTACAGGCATGTACCACCACGCCCAGCTAATTTTTGTATTTTTAGCAGAGATGAGGTTTTGCCATGTTGGCCCACCTGGCTGGTCTCAAACTCCTGACCTCAGGTGATCTGCCTGCCTCAGCCTCCCAAAGTGCTGCGATTACAGGCATGAGCCACCACGCCCGGCCAGGACTTTTTTTTTTAAAACAAACTCTCAGATCACAAAAAACTGGTTGGATTTTGATGAGTATTGTCTTTGCGTCACAATTTCCCTGTTAATAAGGAGGGATGAAAATACTTCTTTTATTTTTTGACACATAGTCTGGCCCTGTCACCCAGGCTGGAACACAGTGGTGAAATAATGGCTCACTGCAGCCTCAACCTCCCGGGCTCAAGCAATCCTCCCACCTCAGCCTCCTGAGTAGCTGGGACCACAGGCATGTGCCACCATGCCTGGCTAATTTTTGTATTTTTTGTTGTGACAGTGTTTCGCCCAGGCTGGCCTCAAACTCTTGAGCCCAAGCGATCCACCTACCTCAGCCTCCCACAGTGCTGGGATTATAAGCATGAGCCACCGTACCCGGCCTGAAAGTACTTTTTCTTTTCCCTCAAAGGAGAGAGGGCAGTCACACCCCACTTATTCTGAGGTTATATTTCAGCAAACTCCAAAGTCTGGAAAACAAGAGAAAATAAGAATAAGGTCAAAACAGCCTCTGATAAGCTCTAGACACCTCAGAGCCTATGTGCTAAATCACACCCACTTTTGTCACAAGTGGTCTTCTCAGGCCTGCCTCAGAACCTGTTTACGTTAGTCACTGTTCTAGGAAACTTGATGGTCTGATTTCCTAGCCTAGAGCAGATTTAAGGCAGCTGCAACTTAGAAGAAACATGGAGGAAAACATGCTGATAACTAACATCTGACAGAGACAGAAAAGTCCAACTACTTATCAAAACCAGCTGCAGGAACATGAGAGGGCAGCAGAGCAGGGCTGCTCACTTCTGAAACCTTTGGAGGCCCCACTACATATGATGGACAGAAGGCAGCTCTGTTCCGCACAGTCATTCAGGAGCCAGGAGTTAACCCCTCCTTGTGGGTTCCGGGGCTGCTCTGGCTGTGGACATTCTAGGCAGAGTGGGAAGGTACAGTGAAGAAGTTCAAGTCCAGCATTTCCTCTTAGGCAAGTGACGGGGAAGATGCACCCACCTACTGCAATTTCATCCCATTGCTGAGAGGTTGGCACTAGGCCCTACCCAGCTGCACAAGGACTGCGAGATGTAGTCTTTGCTGGGCATATAAGGCCTTCTAGAGCATCGTAGTGATATAGGAGTTAAGAAATTTCTAGCCGGACATGGTGGCTCATGCCTGTAATCCTAACACTTTGGGAGGTCGAGGAGGGTGGATCACGAGGTCAAGAGATCGAGACCATCCTGGCCAACATGGTGAAACCCTGTCTCTACTAAAAATACAAAAATAGCTGGGCATGGTGGCGCGTGCCTGTAGTTCCAGCTACTTGGGAGGCTGAGGCAAGAGAATCGCTAGAACCCAGGAGGCGGAGGTTGCAGTGAGCCAAGATCGCACCACTGCACTCCAGCCTGGCAACAGAGCGAGACTCTGTCTCAAAAAATAAAATAAAATAAAATAGAATAAAAGTAAAAGAAATTTCTTAGGCAGAGAATGAGGGCAAGGATGTCCTCGGTAAGGTTTTCTTTTTAATCAAAAGCAGCCCCCAGATCATTTCTTTTTCTAACAAAGAGCAGCCTGTAAAATCGAGCTGCAGACGTAGATAAGCAAGCTGGAAACTTGCACGTGTGAATGCTGGCAGCTGTGCCTACAGGAAAATGCTACCTGGGGGCCAAAATGTCATGTTCAACTTTTCTTCCCTTTTCTTTGTCAACCACATGTACAGTAAGGAACAGACAACATGGCGCCGGCCAGATAGAGACTCCATCTGCATAATAAAAGATCAGGGTGGAATGGCCAGCTTTTTCACGCACTATGCAAACGTCACACCTGGCCCAACCAATCGCTCAGGCCCTATGTAAATCAGACACCACTTTCTCAATTTCGTCTGTAAAACCCCGCGCACCCCCACCCCGTGCTTTTCACCACAAAACCGGAAGATCCACTCGGGAGCCTCTCTCTCTGCAGGAAAGAAAGCTCTTCTCTTCTCTTTCTTTCGCCTGTTTAACCTCCACTCTTAAACTCACTTCTTGTGTGTCTGTGTCTTCAATTTTCCTGGCGTGAGACAAGAAACCTCGGGTATTTGCCCCAGATAGTGACGCCGCTTCAGCAGGACCTCAGCTTTGACTCTGAGTGAGATGGGAGCCATTGGAGAGCTCTGAGTCCAGCCGTGACCTGATGTGATTTGTAAATGATCCCTCAGGTTGCTGTGTTGAGAAGGGGGAGAGGGTGCAGGTGGGGGCAGGGGCAAAAACAGGGACCCCCGTTGGGATAACCTGCTCTCTGAAGCTTTCCTGTCCCCTCCTCCCCTCAGGTGGAGCTGACCTCTTCCTCTGTTGTTCTTTAGGCTTCCACAACATTTCCCATAATTTAAACACTGACCGTTTACTTGTCTGTCTTCCTCCAGGTCAATATATCCACAACACCTGACCCAGAACAGGTGCTTGGCAAAGTATGTTTCCAGCATGTTCGATACAATTGAAATAACAGCTAGAACCCAGTATGCTTGTCAATGATCTTTTTTAAAAATTTATTTATTTTTTACAGACAGGGTCTTGTTTTGTTACCAGGCTGGTACAGTGGTGCCATCATAGCTCATTGTAACCTTGAACCCTCTTGAGGCTCAAGAGATCCTCCTGCCTCAGCCTCCCAAGTAACTAGGACTACAGACCATGCCACTATGCAGAGCAAATTTTAAAATCTTTTGTAGAGACAGGGTTTCGCTATGTTTCCCAAGCTGGTCTAGACCCCCTGGCATCAAGCAGCCCTCCCGCTGTGGCTTCCCAAAGTGCTGGGATTATGGGCATGTGCCACCGTGCCTGGCCAGGGATCCTTAACTGCAGGAAACAGAAACTAACTCTGGTTGTCTTTAAATAAAAAAGAAAACTTGGGAGATGCCCAAAACCCACAGGAAGTTTGGAGAACTAGGTCTGGACAAAGAACAGGAAGTAGCAGAGAGGTTCTTGGCAGTCAGGCTCTGTGTGGCTGTGGTGAACAAGTCAACTGCCTCTCCCACCTTGTTTCAAAGTCCTGGGAAGGGCTCTGACTGGAAGGGCTGAGGTCAGGTGTCGACGCTTTGGTCTCACTGGGGCAGGGAGAGGAAGAACTGGGGCAGGGAAAACCTTCAGAGACCCCTTTGGTTTCCATGATGGGAGGGCAAGGCTCCCTGATTTTGTGTCTCACCAAGACTGTGCTGGCAGGAGGCAGGCAATGGGAAGCAAGAGCAGAGAGCTGTGAGGGGGCCCAGTGCCAGCAAATGTCCATGACAATTTCCCAGGGCTGGAAAAGCACAGAGGCACGAGCTGGGAACTGGGAACTGGGGACTGTACAGGAGATGAGTCTTCCTTGTCTTTGCATCCCCAGGGCTTAGCACAGCACCTAGTACTCAGATGCTCACCTGATGCTTATCCCATGAGTGGATGGATGGAGGGATGAGCTACAAAAACCTAAGGGCTGTGAGTATTACTCCTTCCTTCCTTCCTTCCTTCCTTCCTTCCTTCCTTCCTAGCCAGAGTCTTTCTGTGTAACCCAGGCTGGAGTGCAGTAGCATGATCCTGGCTCACTGCAACCTCTGCCTCCTGGGCTCAAACAATCCTCCCACCTCAGCCTCCTGGGTAGCTGGGACTACAGGCACATACCACCATGCTCAGCTAATTTTTTTTTTTTTTTAATTTTTAGTAGAGGCAGGGTCTCACTGTATTGCCCAGGCTGAATATTTCTAGACAATTGATTTTATGAATCAAAAGGAGATGAGACGGCAGCAGCCTCAACGAAGAGATGATTGCAAAAAAGAAAAAAAGACTTACCTCAGGGGACAAATTGTAGCACTGTTTCCAAAGGCCCCATTCATCTAGCTCTGAGAAGGATTAACATTTATTTAAATAAATTGGCCCCATGCAGTTTGGGCTGATTATGTTGGACACACTGGAGGGACTGGGCAGCGGGAGGTGGGCCAGCCTCCAGATTCTCTCAGGAAGTCATGGATCTGGCCCTGACATCCCATCCAGGAGTGGGCTCCAGCAGTCTGGGGAAGAACCAAGCAGGACGTTTTGACTACACGTGCCAAGAAGCCAGCATCTTCCAAGGAAATCCGCTGGGCTGGGCACCAAGGAGTGTCACAATCCATGCATAGTGAGTTGAGGGGTTGGCCTTAGAACCTGCCTGGAGGTCATACAGCCCAGAGGTTTCCAAATGTGCTCTTGGAGCCTGTGAAGTCACAGAAGTGTCACAGGTGCATCCGGAAGTGAAGATAAGGGGGCAACCCCTGAGCTCCTCATCCCAGTTGCCTTTGACCAGAGCAGCAACACACTTTCCGGTTTTTCAAGGGAGATTCTTTTGAATCAAGAGTTCTGTGGGCCAGGTGCACCTGTAATCCCAGTACGCTGGGGAGGCCAAGGTGAGAGGATCACTTGAGACCAGCCTGGGCAACACAGCAAGACCCCCTCTCGAAAGAAGGAAAGAGAGAGAGAGAGAGAGAGAAGGAGGGAGGGAAGAAGGAAGGAGAGAAAAGAGTTCTGTGTACAAAAAAAAAAAAGTTTGGGATCTGCTTCAGTGTTTTCAGGAATATAGATGGGAAGGACACAGAATTACTAGTTATGTGACCTTATTAAGCCTTGGTTTCCCCACCTATAAAATGTGGATAACATCAGAGGATTGTAGGCTGGTGCAGTGGCTCATGCCTGTAATCCCAGCACTTTGGGAGGCCGAGGCAGGCGGATCACCTGAGGTCGGGAGTTTGAGACCAGTCTGACCAACATGGAGAAACCCCATCTCTACTAAAAATACAAAATTAGTCGGGCGTGGTGGGTGGCGCGTCCCAGCTACTTGGGAGGCTGAGGCAGGAGAATAGCTTGAACCCGGGAGGCAGAGGTTGCGGTGAGCCAAGATCACCCCACTGCACTCCAGCCTGGGCAACAAGAGTGAAACTCTGTCTAAAAAAACAAAAACAAAAACACTCAGAGGATTGTGGTGAGATTAAATAGGATAATGTATGTGGCAGGATATTATTTTGAGACACTCATTGATGTTCGTTTTTCTCCCTGTATTTTCCCATTTCCTTTCCCGCATTCAAGCAGCATCGAGGGCAGGGGCAGAGTGAGTAGTACCCTAAAACTCTTTCTTAAAGGCCTGAACCCTTAGGGAACTGAGCTGTGTCTAGAAGCGAGAAAAAGTGAAGAGAAGACTCGTGCAAATGCTCAAGGCACCTTGGCCGGAAGTAGAGGGGAGACCAGACCCCACACTCCTCCAGAACCAGCAGGGTCTCCTGTCCCAGAAAGGAATGACAGATGGCAAGAGATCTGTGGCCCCGGAGCAGTTCTCGGGGAGGTAGTGAGATCCTCTAGGCTGACCACGTTGAAGTAACAAGAAAACATTGGCCCTGAAGGGGCTCTGGGGGTGCAGCAAGGACAGTGTCAGAGTGATGGATGGTTTTCTGAGGACCAAATCCTACCACGTGATGTTGCACAAAGACCTCAGAACTAGGACATAAATCCTGGAAGAAGTTACATATTTAGGCCAGGTGGGGTGGTAATCCTAGCAGCATCTGAGGCAGGTGGATTGTTTGGGCCCAGGAGTTTGAGACCAGCCTGAGCAAGATGGTGAAACCCCATCTCTACTAAAAATACAAAAATTGGCTGGGTACAGTGGCATGAACCTGTCGTCCCAGCTACTCGGGAGGCTGAGGCCGGAGAAATGCTTGAACCCTGGAGGTGGAGGTTGCAGTGAGCCGAGATGGAACCACTGCACTCCAGCCTGGGCGACAGAGTGAAATCCTGTCTCCAAAAAATAAAGAAAGAAAGAAGTTACATATTTTTCCCCACCAGCCTAATGGCAAAGGAACTCCAAATCAGAAATGGGGCACAGGTACAGAAAAACAAGAAAGTTGTTCTGCTTGCCCACTGGAGCTGTCCCGGCACTAAGCGAAGGCCTGCCATGTGTGTCTAAGGCCTGGAGCCAGCCCAGAGGCTGCACCTGCATCACTCAGCCCTCTCCCTGCTCGTCTCTGTGCCTCTTCAGTCCAATGCTTCCTCCTTCCCAGGCGCCATCTGTTCTGTAGTTTTCTCTCAACCTGGCTTCCTGGGAAGGGCTGCAGCCATGTTTGAGGAGCCCAGTAAAACACCCCCAAGGGCTGTTGCCTTCTTCCTCCGGGCTAACTGAATTCTTGCAGGGGCTGGGAAGAGGTGGTGGGAGGACAGGGCAGGCTGATCTGGAGAGTCTGGCTTCCTGGGCCCCAGCCCAGCCCTCGGCAGAGCAATGTGACCTGATCCCACACTTGGCCAAGGCAGCTGCAGACATTTGCAAAGTGACAAAAGGAGAGGAGGGACCTAAGAAGAAAACAGCATTTGCACAGCACATGGAAGTGCCTGGAAATGTTTTCTGGACACATTATTCTTCTCTAGGGTGATTTTCAAGGCCAACCAAGCCTGGAGACTAAAGCTTCCAGAGGTGAGTCACTGGCCTAATGTGGCCACAGCGGCTTCCTCTCTGCAGTGTGTGTGTGAGTGAAACTGCCTTTGCAAAGATTGTAACATTGAGAAAATTATGGCAGTGAAAGAGATCTAATCTAACCCACCCCCATCTTGCATTTGCCTTAATCATTCCTGGGCTTAGGCTAAGCTAACTTTGGGAGACATTTAGATTATCGTTTATTTATTTGTTTGTTTGTTTATTTATTTAGAGGCAGGGTCTCTCTCTGTTGCCCAGGCTGGGGTCCAGTGGTGCGATCTCAGCTCACCGCAACCTCCGCCTCCCAGGTTCAAGTGATTCTCATGCCTCAGCCTCCCAAGTAGCTGAGACAGGTCCGTGCCACTACACTCAGCTAATTTTATTGCATTTTTAGTAGAGATGGGGTTTGCCCTGCTGCCCAGGCTAGTCTCGAATTCCTGGCCTCAAGTGATCCACCCACCTTGGCCTCCGAGTGTGATGGGATTACAGGCATGAACTACAGCACCCTGCCAAGGTTATAGTTTAAATTATACTAGGCCTTCCCCAAAAGTCAACTGCCTTTTAAAGCTGATGAAGGGCCATTAGACTAGGGGGAGAAGAGGAACCTGATTTCTGATAAGGCGTAGCCATTATTCCAGAGGGATCCTGCAGATAACATCACTACTGTAGACTGACCTTTTGAGATATCTTTTCAGATATTTTTGCATGTCTGGCACCCATGGCTCCACCTGGACCTGAAGGCTCCTGTGACCCCACCCAGGAGTGACTCAGTTCAAGACAACAGCTTTGACCCCCTCTGATTTCATCTCCACTCCAACCAATCAGCAGCAATCACCCATTGCCTGGCCACCCCCACCCTTTACCCAAACTGCCTTTGAGCCTTGGAGGAGATTGGTTTGAGTGATAACTCCGTCTCCTGTGTGGCGTGGCTGGCTACAAGTCAATTAAATTCTTTCCTTACTGCTATGGCGTGTTCTTTATTTGTGCAGCAGGAAGGAAGAACCTATCAGTTACATAAGCATGTGTGTATATGAGTATATGTATGTATTGTGTATGTGTGAATGTATGTGTGTATATAGTATGTGTTTGTCTATGTGTGTATAGGAATGTGTGTGTGTGTGTCTATTTCAGGACAGGGGCTCTCCCTAGATCTTTAGAGCCAGTAGAACATCATTTAGCAATCCCCCAAATCCAATCACTCCTTTTTAGAGATGTTAAAACCAAGGCCCAAGGGACACGACCTGCCTGAAATCGCACCTTTCTCCAGTGACAAAGGAGGAAGTGGCCTGGGAGTCAGAAATGGTCTCACTTGCACCCCAACTCTTGGCCCTTCTTGCTTGGTAGAGGTCATTCTCTCTTGACAGCACAGCCGCTTGATGAAAATAGAGCAGTTAGCATGTCCAGCACTAGCCCACTCTGGGCCAAGCCCTGTGCTTTGTACCTGACATAGGTTATGTCATTCAATGTACCCCTCACAGTGATCTCTCAAAATAGACATTTTGATGTACATTTCACAGAGGTGGAAACCGAAGCTGGCCGGGTGAGTTTCATTTCCCACAGCCTGCTTACTTGTTCTATTTATGTAGTCGTGATTGACATTTTTGAGGACATACTATGTGCCAGGCACTGTTCTAAGCACTTGGTACATGTTAGCTTCTTTTGTCCTCATCATAGCAGGTACTATGACCACCCTATGTTACAAATGAGGTCCCTAAGGCACAAAGTTTAAGTAATTGCTCAAGGTAAATCAGCAAGTAGAGGTAAGAAATCTAAAGGCAGTGAGGGAGGGGACCAGTGAGACCAGAAGGGAGGAAAGCCCTAGAAGTCTGAGTTAACCGCAGTGGGCAACTGGGGCTCACCCCCACCAGGGACGGCTGTGAGCCTTGGTCAAACACACTTCGAGGGTATTTAGCTGAGGGACTGTGAGTAGCCCCGTTTTTCTAAGAGACGGTTAATTATTTTTTCTCTCTTCTCTTTCTCCTGTTCCCCAGTTTCCCACTTCCTACTCATTCCTTTAGACATGCAAATACAACCTTTTACCTCACCTTTCAGCAGATGTTCCCTACAGGGCAAGTTCATTTAACTTTGTGCTCCAAGATGGATCTCTCCTAGAGAGTTACGTTGATTTGCAAACCAAAGCCTGCCCATCAGGGAACTCTTATCCTCCACCTGGTTGCCTCAGAACTTTCGCTCACCAAGAGGCTGCCTTGAGAGATAACAGCCAATTTCCGTAAGACTCCCTCCCACCTGGGGATTTCTCAGCCTAGTCCTGCTCACAAAGGCTCTAGCAGTCACCCGTTCAACTGCCCAGTAGCTAAGGTACCAGAGCTAACATGCAGACCCCCACTTGCTCACTTCTTCCCCTGCCTTTTAAAAGTGCCTGCTTTCTGCTCCAAAAGTAAAACAGTATATTTAAAGGCGGGACACCTGTACTCCTTCCCCTAAGCTAGCTTTGGACTAATTTATACCAGGCATTTATTTATTTATTTATTTATTTATTTATTTATTTATTGAGACAGGGTCTGGCTTTGTCACCCAGGCTGGAGTGCAGTAGCAGGATCTCGGCTCACTGCAACCTCTGCCTCCTGGGTTCAAGTGGTCCTCCCACCTCAGCCTCCTAAGTAGCTAAGACCACAGGTGGGGTTGGGTTACCTGTCTAAGTTTTGCATTTTTCCGTAGAAACGAGTTTTCCCCATGTTGCCCAGGCAGGTCTCGAACTCCTGAGCTCAAGCGATCTGCCACCCTCAGCCTCCCAAAGTGCTGGGATTACAGGCATGAGCCACGGCCTCCAGCCTAGGTGACACAGTGAGACCTCATCTCAGAAAAAAAAAAAAAATTGGACTCCACAAACTAACCTGCCATTCGGTTACAGGACGAGGAAGTGCCTTGGAACTGCCCCTATGTGAACGAGTGCTGGTTATCCAGGAAATGTCATTAGGCAGAGATGTAGGAAGCCACCTTCCTAAAGGTGCTGTCTGCAGGTGACTTCAGGTGGCCGAGGAGATACAGGCAGGGCAGCATTTGCTACCATATATTAGCCCTGACACTTGGTTCTCAACAAATGCTTATTTTCTTCCCTTCTCTCTACAGAACATTTTCTTTGGACCCAGATATTCCTGGAAATCAATAAAGCTGGTTTTATTATGTGTATGGCAAAAATGTCGTTTGCTTTTATACCACCATATGTTTTTTTTTTTTTTTTGAGACAGGGCCTCACTCTGTCACCCAGGCTGGAGTACAGTGGCACAATCTAGGCTCACTGCAGCCTTGAACTGCTGGGCTCAAATGATCCTCCCACCTCTGCCTCCCGAGTAGCTGGGACTACAGACATGTGCCACCATACCTGGCTATTTTTTGTATTAAAAAGAAAATTGGAGGCCTGTCCTGGTGGCTCACACCTGTAATCCCAACACTTTGGGAGGCTGAGGCGGGCGGATCGCCTGAGGTCAGGAGTTCAAGACCAGCCTGGTCAACATGGTCAAACCCCATATCTACTAAAAATACAAAAATTAGCCGGGTGTGGTGGCGCATGCCTGTAATCCTGGCTACTTGGGAGGCTGAGGCAGGAGAATCGCCTGAACCTGGGAGGTGGAGGTTGCATGCAGTGAGCCGAGATTGCACCACTGCACTCCACACTCTAGCCTGGGCAATAGAGTAAGACTCCATCTAAAAAAAAAAAAAAATTAAAATAATTTTTAAAAATAAATAGATAGGATCTCACTATGTTGTCCAGGCTAGTCTTAAACTCCTGAGCTCAAGCAATCCACCTGCCTTGGCCTCCAAAGTGCTGGGATTAAAGGTGTGAGGCACCACGCCTGGCCCTGGCTAATTTTTGTATTTTTTGTAGAGACTAAGTTTTTGTCATGTTGCCCAGGCTGGTCTCAAACTCCTGGGCTCCGGCAGTCTGACCACCTCGGCCTCCCAAAGTTCTGGAATTACAGGCATTAGCCAGACATGTTCATATAAAAAAAATCTCACAAATGAGAAAATCTGCTTTGTCAGGTTGCTACCTAATTATTACTTCCTCAACAAATGTTCATAGCAGCACTATTCACAACAGTCAAAGGGTGGAAGCAACCCAAATGTCCATCAGTGGATGAATGGATAAACCAACTGTGGTCTGTCCATACAATGGAACATTATTTGGCCTTGGAAAGGAATGAAATATTCATACTACCACATGGATGAACCTTGAAAACATTATGCTAAGTGAAAGAAACCAGGCACAGAAGGTCACATACTGTATGACTCCACCTATATGAAATATCCAGAATAGGCAAATCCACAGGAACAGAAAGTAGACTTGTGGTTGCCAGGCTGTAAGGAGAGAGGAATGCAGTGTGACTGTATAATGGGTGTGGCTCTCTTTTGGGGGTGATGGAAACGCTTTGGATCTAGATAGACGTGATGACTGCATATCATTATGAATATACTAAATGCCACTGAATTGTTCACTTTGTTATTTATTTATTTAGAGACAGAGCCTTGCTCTGCCACCCAGGCTAGAGTGCAGCGGCTCAATCTTGGCTCACTGCAACCTCCGCCTCCCGGGTTCTTTCTTTCTTTCTTTTTTTTTTAGGCAGGGTCTCGTTTTGCTACCCAGTCTAGAACACAGCGGCATAATCATAGTTCACTGAGCATCAACCTCCTGGGCTCAAGTGATCCTTCTGCCTCAGCCTCCCCAGTAACTGGTACTACAGGCATGCACCACCATGCCCAGCTAGTTTTTGTATTTTTAGTAGAGACGGGGTTTTGCCATGTTGGACCAGCTGGTCTTGAACTCCTGACCTCAAGTGATCCTCCTGCCTCAGCCTCCCAAAGTGCTGGGATGACTCGTGAGCCACCATGCCCAGCCGACATAACATTTTTTATTTAACGAAACTTCTACTGTCGAACACTTAAGTTGGCTTGTTTGAAACAGTAGATAATATTGCAGTCCATATCCTTGTAAAAAATATTTGAGCATATGGCAGATGATTTTCTTAGAAAAGTGTCCCAAGGTGGACTTACCGCATGTCCTGATTAATCTCTGTGTCCCCAGATACTCTTTGCAGCCTCCCCTACCTTTCTCGGTGCCCTGGGAGACTGAGCCAGCCCTAAGCATTGACTCACTTACTTCCCCTGGCCACTTTGAATAAGGTTCAGCCATCAAGAGGCAACAGCAAGGGGGACAGGTGACAGGATGGGAGGGGGTATGTATTTGTCCTGCTCCCTCCCTGCTTTGCTGTGGTTCTGGCAGTGGCTGCAGCTCTAGGCCTGTAACTTGGGTGCAGCCGACCCTCCGAACGAACTGTCTGGGGTGCTAATGGAGTCCTGCTGTTGCACAAGCTTCAACTTCCCCTCTTGGTTCCCTTCACCCGGCCCATGTCTCTGTAAATAATAACTTCACTACAACATCTCTTCAAAATCCCAGCTGGGTAGGGAGATTAGAGGGTCTTTCTAGAACACCTGCTAATATGAACAAGTTCTCCTTTGCTGGCCATTTTTTTCAGTGTTCTTGGTTGTCCCAACTTGTCTATGACCTTTAGATTCACTATGTAAAATTCCCCAAAAATATCATATTGGAATTTTTATTATTAATACAATTGCACAAAACTGGCCATGTGCAGTGGCTCATACCTATAATCCCAGCACTTTGGGAGACCGAGGTGGGAGAATCGCTCGAGTACAAGAGTTTGAGACCAGGCCGGGCACAATGGCTCACGCCTTTAATCCTAGCACTTTGGGAGGCCGAGGTGGGCAGATTGGCTGAGCTCAGGAGTTTGAGACTAGCCTGGACAACATGGCAAAATTCCGTCTCTACTAAAAAACAAAAAATTAGTTGGGCATTGTGGTGCACACCTGTAATCCCAGCTACTCGGGAGGCTGAGGCATGAGAATTGCTTGAACTGGGGAGCTGGAGGTTGCAATGAGCCAAGATCACACCACTGCACTCCAGCCTGGGGGACAGAGTGAGACTCTTTC